GCAGTGCTTTCTGAATCGTTCTGTGTAATTGTGCATTGATATCTCAAAATTAGCTGGCAAATAGACATGTCTATGCCATTTCAACAGAACATGTTTTAATTCTTGACTTCTATGTGATCCGCTTGTATTACTTATGCCAATATCAGCAAGCGAAATCATAGCGAATTTTTAAGGCAGAGGGTGCGTTTTTTAATAGTGGCAACATCTATAATCAATACGATTTCAGCCACACACGCGTCTCAGCTGTTTTTACAGGGAAGACTGATCCAATCTTTCATCCACAGATCGTAATTTTGACCTGAAACAGAGGACGATCAATCTTCAATTCAATACCTCAGAGGTATTCATTTGTCATGGGAACTTGAAGGACTATGTGACCCCGACAGATTTAACATGCAATAATCACCATTTAATAAACAGGGATTCTTCGGCCGGTGGTATTCGAACTCGCGAACACGAGCCTAACTAGGCTTTACCTACCCTCTGTTTGATCTAATAGGGTACTTGAAATTTGAGAAGTGATTATACCTAACCATAAGATTAAAATCAGATTTAATTGGATACCTGTAACAGGGTGCGTAGCGTTTGTAAAAAGTACATAAAAGTGCTTTTTGGGAATTTCGTTTTTAAAAGCTTTTAAGGGTGCAACTGACGTTTTTAAAAAGTGCTTTTTTTCCCGAATAATTTTTTTTTTTACCTTCAGTGATATCTGGTGGATCCCATGCATTTCACGAAAAATGGGGTGTTTACTTCGTAATCATTCACGCGGACTTCATGTCGTACCCACGTTATGACTTGCGCATGCACGCACACTTGAAACCGAAACCCGAGTGCTCCAATTCGGATGGAGAATATCAGATCCTTATGAAATGTTTTTCTTTTTAATTTTATTATTGTTTATTTTATTTTACTTCTAACACTTTTTTGACGTAGGGGGTTCGGGTACTTTTGTTCTGAGTTCCAGGGTCAAGTTGAATTCACTCGATGATTTGGGAAAGTAATGATTGTTTCGATTTACGTCTGTTTCTTTTTGGGTTTTTTTTAAAGCTAAAACTGTTTATAAAAAGTTTCTGTTTTTCAATGATATCACTGATTGAATATAAATTTTTTGAGTGCTTGAAAATTTTTGTAAAGTGCTTGAAAATTTTTTAAATGTGCTTATTTTTCATTCAAAGATTTGGCTACGCACCCTGTGTAAGCGACACGTGTGGGTGGAATTTGATTGGCTTCTGAATCGACTAAAACCACGATTTACTTACGATGGCGATACTTGTGGTTATCCAATCAAGTTCAGTGGTGATTCACAATAGATTTTGATAACTATTTTTTATTTTTCCTTAAATTTCTTTTGAGATCACTTAAGTATTTTATTTGTATTACTCATTTTCGGCAAGAATTCTAGTAATCCTGGAAAACAGAAATAATTTTTTTTATTGATTGTTGCGAAATAAAATAATGCTAAATATTTAATTTTTTTCCATGATATTATCTTTGATGATTCATGATTTTTTTTAATCAATGATTTAGAGATATAAAACAAAATGCACAGAGAGTCAGATTGATATTTAAGAGGTCAAACTATCTGCCTCTTATCAATAAATTATTACAACAATAATGTACAAAATTGTATCACCCTCCTTCTCTATACGTGCGTTTTTGTATTTTATATCTGTGTTTAAATTTTCGACTATACTAGTTAATTAATAAACGTTTTGCGTCTGCATCTTAATTCTAGAGCATTAGATTGGGTAGGGTGTTTCTTTTTGATGTTGTAAAATCTTGACTAAATATCAGTGTTACCTTTATATAAAATGTTCCAGTTTAAATAAAAGAAGTAAAAACATGAAATTGATTTGTTTTAACACGTTGATTGCCACGGCACCCATATTCGGGTGACAGCAAAGTTCCGCGTCATCAGTATTGAGGTGACGCTTATTTGACCACTTGCTAAGGATATTCGTAAGTATTTAAAAAGATGTTTCACAGGATTGTTGTAGTTAATTTACGTCGCACTGGAGCGGCACAATGGGCTATTGGCGACGGTCTGAGAAACATCCCTGAGGATGATCCGAAGACATGCCATCACAATTTTGATCCTCTGCAGAGGAGATGGCACCCCCGCTTCGGTAGCATGACGACCTGCACGCGAAGTCGAGCACTTTACGGTAGAACAGTTTAACGAGAACCAATACCGCACACCCTCAGTCCCTACGCAGACTAATCCAAGTGGTCACCCACCCGCACACAGACCGCAACCAGTGATGCTTGACTTCGGTGATCTGCTAGGAACCGTGTCTTAACGATCAATCCACTGCTGGGCATGTTTCACAGGAAGTAACAAAACTATTGAATTGTTATAAAAATATACAAAAATGATTTATTAAGAAAATTATTGTGAGCCTCGTAAAAGCTTTCTTGTTCACTGTTATTTGATTCAGTAAGAAATAAGTTTTCTTCCATTTTTCTTTTCTTAATTCAACGAATTAGGGTAAAGAGTTTTAGTTACACTTATCTTTACTCGTCAAAGATTCAAACTGACCGTGTAAAGGGGCGAGGTGAGAAGCAACGGACACAGATAAACAGACATGATACCACGGAAACAAAACGGAGCGAAAAATTATTCTTGTGGCCACCCTAAAGACTCGCATTATTAAAATATCGGTCGGAGTACTTAGACGACCGGCCTGTGTAGGGCGCAGGGAACTGTCCTTGCATCAGAAAGGTTCTGGGTTCGAATCCCGGGCAAGGCATGGATGTTCTTTCCTTCTCTGTACTATCTGTCCTCACTGTGGAAGCGACATATTGGCTCACCTAATATGGTGCCCCTGAAAGAGAGGCCAACAAAATCGCCCTGTATATGCCTGAATTGACGGATGTTAACACAGGTCGGCATTGGAAATTTTAAAAAAAGAAAGAAAAGAAAACCTTAGCAGAATACGCTTCGTACAGCGGTACTCGTGGCCTGAAAGAGATTTTGTAAACGCGTGCGGCAGTTAGCGTATTAAAACTGTTATTAATTGCATGTAACCTATTATACTCGGATGTACCATTCTGAATTTAAGTTTACCAAGCAAAAATTTAATCACTTCTACCGATAGTATTCAATGCCAGGTTCTAGCTGGAAGTCGATCAGTGTTTGTTTTGAGGTATTTTTTGTATTATCAATTGAGAGTGCTTACTAAAATGATCACTAATATGAACCTGAATACTTCAGCACTCGGAATAATTAGGTTTTGATTTTCAACCTAAGTTTGAGTATGCTGCAAGTACTACAATTTTTCAAGATGACAGTAGCCAAGTTTACCGAGATGGAAGAATATGTGACTAGCTTTATGAATATTTACACATATCTGGAATAACCTGCAAAATCACCTAACTTGAATCGCGTAGAAAATCTGTGGACCTTATTTGAACACCAGGTTAAACACCGAAATCTGAATTCCTGCATGTGCTGGGTTAGCGCAATCGAATTCTCAGAAAGTGGCTGGATGCGATACACCGGTAGATCTTGTCGGCGTTTACTTCCTGAAAAATTAAGTCCTAATCCGGAGTTGCAGGTATGTATTAAATTACGGTTTTCGTAATTTCTCTAGAGATGAATGATTTTTTTTCCCGGGGCGGAGGGCGTTAAGCTAAATCAGAAATATTCTATGATCATTAGCTATTGAAAAATAAATTGTCCCGCAGTGGACTGGTTGTAAAGACACGATTCCCAGTAGGACACCGAAGTCAAGCATCACTGGCTGCGGTCAATGTGCGGGTGGCTGACCGCTTCGATCAGCCTGCGTAGGGACCGAGGGTGTACGGTATCGGTCCTCGTTAAACTGTTCTTTAGTGCTTACATTTCTTTCAATAGTGTTTCGAACTCCATGTGCAGAAGCTATAAAAAAGTCAAATTTTCATCAATTCTTAAGTTATGTGTGAGCAAATAGTAAACTCCCTGAATAACTTTTGATCTAATGATAGGATTTTCACATAATAAGACTCAATCTTAATGGTCAGAGAGACTTACTATATAATAAGCTAATTAAGTGGTGGAGACAATATTTTAAGTTAAGAAATCAGACACAAAAGGTTATTCACTCTGAATCACCCTGTCTTTTTTTCCGACTGATTTTGATTTATGACACTCAAAATAGGGAATGGGGGGCGAAATCTGGAATGTATGGTCCTGATAATTTATGCAGGAAAGCCATCGAAACTTTGGTTTCCTTGATGTTAATTTCACTTTAAGATAATTCCATATAAAAATAATTTTTCGTAGCAATTTATTATTTTTGAGATTGAGTCTTAGTACTTAGTCATTAGATCAAAAATTATTCAATGTTTGTTTGTTTTCGCGCACAGTTCTATATATGTTTTTTTTTTTAATTATTGTGATACTTTGCGTTTCAAGTTTGTATTATTTTGGTGGAAATTAATAAAATAATTTTTATTTTGTGCTTGAAATTGCGACAAATGTCTCTACAAAACAAAATCGTTATCTTTAACTCAAAAATCGCTTTATTAGTACTTAAGTTAAAACTCATAACTTTTTTAATCTATTTTTGTAAAAGTTATTTTATTTAATTGCATAATTCGAAATTTCGTCAATAATTTTTCGTCAGAGTGCTAGTTAATGCAAGTTTCAGATTGTCGCATTGAATAAAATGTATAGCGTTCTTCCAAGTTTTTTGATTTCTAATATTTTCAATAAATCATAAAATATTTAAAAATAATTAGAATATTTTTATGTACATTTCAAATATATATGCAATTACTAGAATGTATACGGATTTTCCTTTTATTTATTCATTTATCTTATTTATTTTTTGAAATGATACGTTTTTATAAACTGGGTTAAAGTAAAGGACTAAATTTTTTTAAAAAAAATATTTTTATTTTTCACTTTCCATGTTCTTATAAAGAATTTTATCTATTCAGTTTTACTACTGTATTTGAAATAATGAAATTCTTATAATCTAAATTATGTAAAACTGAAATATACAGCATATAAGCAGTTAGAAATTGTGAATTACTTGCATTTATTCATCATATATCTTTGGCTCTCATTCATAGCGATGATGTAAACAAAATAATTTAAAGCACCAATACTTGTTTCTTTAATAATGACTAACAAAGCGGCTACCTTTATAATGGTTTGGTGCATGCACAATTTCAGACGCATAAGATAAAGATGGAGCTCCGTGTCTAATTTCTGTGGCATAGGCATGTCCTTTGAGTGATGGGGCAGCGGCTGCAAAAACTCTAGGAGCTGCTACTACTGGAGCTGCGTGATGAACTTCGGAGGAATACGCATAGCCTTTGACAGCAGGGGCTGCTACTGCAACTGCTGGGGCTCCGTGATGAATTTCAGATGAATATGCATAACCTTTAGCTGCTGGAGCTGCTACTGCAAGAGCTGGTACTGCAACTGCGGGGGCTCCGTGATGAATTTCAGATGAATACGCATAGCCTTTGACAGCAGGGGCTGCTACTGCAACTGCTGGGGCTCCGTGATGAATTTCAGATGAATATGCATAACCTTTAGCTGCTGGAGCTGCCACTGTAAGAGCTGGTGCTGGTACTGCAACTGCGGGGGCCCCGTGATGAATTTCAGAAGAATAAGCATATCCTTTAACAGCCGGGGCAGCTACAGCAACAGCTGGAGATGCATAGTAATTATGGACTGGTGCTGGAATAGCTACAGCTGCGGGTGCTGTGGCGATAGCGGCTACTGGTGCTGAATGGTGAACATCAGATGAATAAGCAAATCCTTTTACTGGTGCAGCTGGTACAGCAGCATATGCTGGGGCTGAGTGATGAACCTCGGAAGAATAGGCGTAACCTTTCACAGAAGGAATTGGTGCGGCAACTGCAACTGCTGGTTGAGCTGCGTGATGAACTTCGGAAGAATAAGCATATCCTTTAATTGCAGGAGCTGGTACTGCAACAGCGGCTGGTATTGGAGCAGCATGGTGAACTTCAGAGGAGTAAGCATAGCCCTTGGAAGGAGCTGGTACCGCAATTGGAGCTGGAGCAGCTGCTACTGCAAATGTCGGGGCTGAATGATGTACCTCAGAAGAATAGGCATAACCTTTCAGTGGTGCGGGGACTACTGGAGCAGCGCGATGAACTTCTGAAGAATAAGCATAGCCCTTAACTGCGGGTGCTGCTACAGCGATTGGAGCAGGAGCTACTGGGAATGCTGGGGCTGAATGGTGGACTTCAGATGAATAAGCATAACGTCTCAATTCAGGAGCTGGGGCTACTGCAGCATGTGAAACTTGAGAGCCGTATGAATATCCTTTAATATTAGGCGAATCATCAGATTGAGTATCAGCAGCAATTTCTTGCTGAGTAATTTCTTTTTCATCAGATGCGTATGATACGGCCGATGAAGGAGCTGCTGGTTCATTTCTGTTTGGTTCTTCAGGGGCAGCAGGAGCTTCTTCATTTAGATCGGTAGAATATGTGTCAAGTTTGGAGTCATCAATACTCTGCTGAGCGTCTTGAGGGGCATATTCTTTGACAGATGGATTTTCATTTGGTGCTTCTGCAGAATAAGCGGATGCTTCGGCATTTGGTGCAGGACCAGATTCATCTGAATATTCAGCACCCTTTGCTGGGGTTGCAAATGCTACTGGTGCTACAGGATAAGCATATTTAAGAGGTGCGGTGCGTATTCCAAATACAGCAGTGTCTCCCATCGGTGTTGCCACTGCAATTGCTGCAAAGAGTAGTGCGGCTACCTACAAAATAATAGTAGATTCCATTGTTAGTATTTTTTTAGCAAATGGAATACAAATAAATTTATAATAAGTTGATACTGTTGAAATAAATAATTTGAAAAAGAGTACGGTTTACTCGTAGGAGGAAACACGCGTAATATTGGATACAAATAGTAATAACTATTTGAATGATAAGAAATATAATTGTAATAATTATCCGAATATAAAAGCCTAATAGTCAAATAATAATAACTATCTGAATCTAATAGTAGTAATTTTCTGAATCTAATAGCAATAATTATCTGAATATGAATGTCTAATAGTAATACATAATTATCTGAATGTTTAGAAATCTGACAGTAAAAACTAGTAATAATTATTGCATAATCATTTTCATCCAACTTTTTAAACAAATAAGTTTTCACACTCTAATTTTGTTATTCTAATTAATATTTTTTTAAATTCTAATTAATAATCTAAATAAAAAAATGATGATTTCCTAAATTTTCAAATTACTTTGCTGTGCATGAAACTAATTCTTACTGATTTTTATCATAAATGAACTGAGGAATACTGTGCATTTTATCATTTTTGTACTTTTTATCATTTTTAGATAATTTTATGGCCATGAATTTGTTAAAGAGAGAGGGGAAAGGATTATCCTAATCGTTTTCTGCTGTGGTGCTAGAAAGGTGAAAAATTCTAAACGTGAGCAGTGATAGCAGCGAGGAGATAGATTTTAGATAGATTAACCACTGAAAATTTTTAAAAAAATGAAAAAAATTTTATTATTATTATTTTGGTAATTATTTCACTTATTGCCAGCAAATTAAAGCTTAAATCTCCCTAACACCCCTAAATACTAAAAATATTTTTCCACAATTCTGACCAAAAGCAGATGAGTAGGAGAGGTCCTAAAACTTTAACAAGAAATTGTACAAGGGCTTTCTGACTCTCCCACTCACCACCAGAAAAATGGAAGAAACGATCACTTATCTATTTCTTTTTTCACAATTTGAGGCCCAAATCCCCATAGAATATTCCTCGTTCCTATAGCTATTTATATTTTAAAACTTTTCCTCTCTCTATGCCATCAGAAAAAGTTTAACGATTAAAATAATCTTCCCTTCAAATCAAACTTATGGCTATAAAACTATCGAATAGCTAGAAAACTCCCATAAGAAATCCTTAAAAAATAAAATAAGAAAACAATAAGTTCTGAGGAGAAAGATGATCATATTCAGATTCAGGAGGTCATTTCACCCCGAAATCAGCTGAAAAGTTGCTAGTTTTCACAAATAAATTTTCGTTAGTCGAGTGGTGTTACTAATGTTTCTAGTCTGTAAATATAAAAGGTAAAGTCCTTATTCATTCATTTTTAATACTTCCACTTCTCATTAAGTTAAGTTAGAAAGCTAAAATTTGGAACATGTGTTCTTTATGAAATAGAAAAACTAAATTAGTTTAATTTTCACATTTTGTAATTATCCAGGTAATTATCCTAATTGTCTGTCATTGTAATTGACATCTTTCACCAGAACAAGTCTAAAATTTGACCATATATTTCTAATCAGATATTAAGAAAAACAAAAAAAGTTTCATTATTAAAAGTTCATTGGTTTCATTATTATATTTTGTAATTATCGGGATCATTAGCTTAATTAACACTAATACTAAATAACTTATTTTTATCGCATCAAATTAGAAGTCAAAGAAGAATTTTTTTACACGTTAAAGGTTAAGATTAAGCTTTTTGAGGTATTATGTAGTTATTTAAATCCCTTTTTCGTTTATTATTTATCATTCATATTTGAAATATTTTTCAAAATTATTAAAACTTCATTTAATTTATTGTATTTAAAAGTTTCAGTTTACTAATTTCAATTCATAGTATATTTACACCAATCTCTTTATAAGGAAATTAAATAGCGTGAGAATGCTAAATAATAAAACTATTTAAGATAACAGAAGCTACGAAAAAAATTCACAAACTGAATTTTAATTAAAGCGACATTTGAGTCTAGTTGCAATTTATAAACTATTATTATTATATTTATCACAATTTACTTGATTTAAATGTATTAGCAAAGAAATAATAATATTTCTCATTTATGCATACTTTCAGATTATAATTCATCACATTTTTTCAATGATTTCAAAAAATACTTTATGTTAATATTATCTTCAATCAAATTTACAATTTTCAATTTCTCAATGTTTTGCTGCTTATATTAATTTTTTTAAATTAAACCAACGAAGTAAGTTTTGAATTTTTAATAGCATAATAATTTTTAAAATTAAAATAATTTTTTAAATTAAAATAATTTTTAAAATTAAAATAATTTTTGAAATTAATGAAATTGTAAAAGTTTTTGAAATTATTAAAGTTATAATATTTTTTTAATTTATTAATATTATTATAGTTTATAAAAATTAGAATTAAATATAATTAATTTTTATATTAAATTCAAATTTTATGAAATTCAAAATTAATTAAATGAGAAAATTTAAATAATTTTGTGAAGGTGCTTACAAGTCAAATTATGTTTGTTTATTGCAAACAAATCCGAATCAACGATTAGAATGCAGACTTTTTTTTTCTTTTGTTTTAAACATATTTAAGGTACGGATAACATCAAGTTCGAAAATATTTTATTAGTGAATATAGTATTAATTAGGTAAAATACAAATATCATTTTAAAATTTTTTTAAATATTATAATTTTCAAAATTAAAAATATATATAAGTTAAACCAACGAAGTAAGTTTTGATTTTTTAATAACATAATTTTTAAAATTAAAATAATTTTCAAAATTAATAAAATCGTAAAAGTTTTTGAAAGTATCAAATTTATAAAATTTTTTAAATTTATTAAAATTGTTATAATTTATAAAAATTAAAATTAAATATAATTAATTTTTATATTAAATTCAAATTTCATAAAATTTAAATAATTTTGTGAAGGTACTTGCGAGTCAAATTAGGTTTGTTTATTGCAAACAAATCAAATCAAACAATCCGAATCAACGATTAGAATGCAGACTTTTTTTTCTTCATTTTTTTAAACATATTTATGGTACGGATAATATCAAGTTCGAAAATATTTTATTAGTGAAGATAGTATTAATTAGGTAAAATACAAATATCATTTTTAATTTTTTTTTAAATATTATAATTTTCAAAATTAAAAATACATAATTTTCAAAATTAATAAATTTACAATAATTTAAAAAATTTATAATTTTAATAATAGTTTTTAAATTGGGCTAACTTTAAAAATTAAAACTGCAACATTTTTACACATCTTATTTTAAATAATGACGATACAATGTTAAACGATATAAAAAGTACTTACGAATCCAATCATGATTGTTGTTCGCATTCGAATCCAGACAAACGAATTGAATACAGACATTTTTTTCTCGCTCTTTAAATACCCACAATCAATCCCATGGTACGGTTGACACCACGTTCGAAAATATTTTATTGGCGAAGATATTATAAATTAGGTCAAGTACAAATAACATTTTTTTATCACATCGAAAATCCCATCCTCGCTAGCCTCCTGAAAGTCCATCAAGAAGATTCTTCCTCACCCTGCCCTAAGGCTATTGAAAAACCGCGCCCACCATTGCCAGATTCACTTATGACCATCAAAACTCCTGTTTCAAAGCAAATCCTCAATGTTTCCCCTCCCATCACAATCATTTACAATGTTTGTATTGTTACTTCTTTCTATTAATTTTTTATTTACACGTGAAGACAGTAGGCAGATTTTGATAAGAACAAAAAGAACCACCAGAAAGTCCTCTAACTACGTGGTTGGAATTCAGCCAGGTTGGCTATTTTATTCCAAGATAGGTGTGAATTAGAAGATTGTAGTTCTGGTGCGTAATTATTCGTCATTAATAAGTAATTTTTGGTGTGATTAATAGTATTGTACCAGTGAAAAGGTTGTGTGGTGTAGTGATTTTTTAAGTTTGATAATAACTTAATTAGCTAATTATACTATGCCAGGTGCTGAACGCGATAATTGAAACGCAATTAACTGAAACTATGTAAGGAAGCTTTCATTTTCGACTAAAATATCGATTTATTTGATAAATCATCGTAGCGTGGATTAATCGTGATAAACTTTAGGAATAAATGTTGTGTGTTTTGTATTGTTTAATCACTGGTTGTTTTTAAATACTGTTTAAAAATGCGAAACAGTTTTAAAATACAGTGCATAAAGCATTTTTTGCCTATTTTCGACCAACTATAGAAATTTTAGAAAATGTGATAGTATTTTCATTGAAATATGCTTAAATTAGATTCATCCAGACACACAAGTAGTTTCGTGTATAAAAAATAATATTTTATATCAGAAAAAAAAGGTGTGTATATGCACCATTGGCCAAATCAATGGACAAACTGTTATTCAAACACTAGAACACTTATATGAAATTTGCTTCATTTTTATTTAATTTACAGAGCTTTCAACTTTAATCCATCATAAAAACGTATGATTAATCTCAAAGGAATAATTATGCGCTTTCAAAAAGTCAAATTCGTCAATAACCGTTTCAAGTTAAGAAACTAAAATAGTTTAAAAATTTCTCAACAGATTACTATCATTTTATAGATATCTTCAGAACATTGACAATAGCAGAAAAATAAAATTAGTGAAAAATATAAGTCGCAGTGTAAATACTAAATATTTATTGAAATTGTACATTTACGCACCTTTGGTTCAAAATGGGTTAACACTTGTAAATAAAAAGCAGTTTAGTGTTTAAAAGAGCAGGTTTTAAATTTAATTTACTTAGACATTTACCTAACATTTTATTTTATATTATATCCCACGTCGAACAATCAACCCAATTCTGAGTTTACAACTACCAATGTTCAACTCTATAGCCTTGTAATTTTGAACCTAATCCAGAAGACAAGAGAAGTTTGCCAAGTATTGGGAGAAACTGGGTTTCGTGGAAGGTTTTTCAATAGAACTAATCAGCATTTGCGTTAGAGAGAAAAACCACGAAAACCTCCATAGTTAGCCTGACTCCAAGGGGACTCATGATCCGTCTGAGGATATTTTACGTCAGCGCTGTGGTCGATGCGAGCCTGGGACAGAATTTGTATCCATCAGCCACCGCTGCGATTCGAACCTGGGTCACCTCATTCTGAGCCTTCTCTATCTCTTTAAGCCAGTGGTTCTTAACCTTTTTAAGCCGCGACCCAAATTTGAGCAATATGTTCATGTCGCGACCCCAAAAAAAGTCAAAATTAGGCTGAGTAAACCACAATGATTTCTTCTAGGAGGTGTTGGTATTACTTATTATTTGGTGTATTAACTAACTTTTTTGGTTCGACTCAGCGCGACCCAAGAAATATGCTTCGCGACCCAATTTTGGGTCGCGACCCATAGGTTAAGAACCGCTGCTTTAAGCCACCTCTGCTCCCGTAACTTTTATTGATCATTTCTCATAAATGTGATTTCGAGACAAACAACTGTTTTTCACACAAATGTTATATTGATGGTGCACGTGAAAGGAATATCGCGATATCGATTAATCGTGATATCGATAAATTGATTCGTGGTATCGATATCAATTATGCCTTGCAACCATTCTTCGCACACATAAGTTTCGAGTAAAAAAAATGTCTTGAAAGCATTATTTAAATCTGTTTATTTAAAAAAATTTTAAATAAAAAATTTAACATTTATATTTTTTTATAAAAAGAATTATGTTAAAATTACGGCTTTTAACATTTTGTAAAACATCTATTCGAAAACATCTTAGTATTAAAAAGCGTCTTAATGTATTTATTGTATCGTACTCAAAATATTTCAAAGAAAGAAAAATGACACAAATTTAAACAAACGAATCTAAATTTAAATGACGCTTGTTTTAGAAAAAGTTTGAATAGCAGCTCTAATTTGAATTTCTAAATCTCAGGGGTGTTTGATTCTGGCATATGTGCCTTGACAAGTTGCAGTGTTTTTTTTTTTTTTTTTTTTTTTTTTTTTTAAGTGAGGTCTTTTTTTGAAGAAAAAAGGAAATGTTTGTATTTGAAATATTTAAAAAGGAAAAAATCTAACTTTTTAATACGAAATTTAGGAATTAAAAACTCTTGCATCTTAAAATTCGTGGATATATTTTCTCTTTACCTAAGTAATAATAATTGGAAAAATACTAACGAACTAATTGTACATTTTGCCAAATACGAAATTTGAATTAAAATCTATTCCAAATATTCTGATATCACTGTGCCAAATTTTATGTTTTATTCATGGATTAGCAGGAAATTAACAACATGTTGAGTTCGTTGGTGTGAAACAAGAATGATTCATTAAAATTGCGAAACTGTAAGAAAAATAATAATAAAATAATAATAATAACAATTAATTAAATAAATTTTTAAAAAAAATCATTGATTTTGAAAGAAATTATCATTGCACATAGATGAAATGCACATAGTATTATTAGTGAAATCGAAGATAAATACTTATAAAAGATAAAATGCGCAAACAATTGAAATTGAAATCTACGGTAAACGGTTGGGAGGGAATGGGAAAAAAAGGCAATACTCCCGGAGGCATAGATAGGGAAGCATGTGCCCCTCAAACAATATTTCAAAAACTAAAAAATAATTCGAAATCATTTCAGTTTTCAGACTTTAAAAAAGTTAAATTTTGTGCATCAATTTTTTCTAGATATAAGTTCTTGACTATCAATAAAAAAAGTAATAAATCGAAAACTTTCGTCGAACTAAAAAAATTTTTATAGAAAGAAATACAATGTGAAAATTTTAGTTGTTATGTAAATGATTTTACAGAGAAAAATTAATTTTTTTTACCATTTTACCATTTTGAAATCTTTTACCTTTAAAATACAATAATTTAATGAAACGGAAATTAAGTGTTATTACTAGTTTAAAAGTGTAGTTAGTAGCTGTTTAATGTAGTTTATAGTTCGATATTTTTAAAGCAAAAATATTTTTTCTCAACAAAATGTAATTACTTTCATATGCATTTTTTCCTTCCTAACACAAGTTTTTTATTGTGTCTCTGTGTTTAAATCGGTAGTATCCAGACTGTGGCTCACAAACCACTGCTTGTCCACAAAAGAATTGCTTACGTTCACGAAAAAGCTGTTAACGAACGAGGACTTTTGGTTTGCGCTGCAAAAAATTCCGGAACAGATCACGGTAAAAGTTCCGTCACTTAGGATGCCGGTACTTTTTACCGTAAAATCCTTCGGAACAAAAAATCTGATATCCAGTAATTTTTACAATTATAATTAACGTAAAATCATTGAATCACTCTACTTAAATGAATATTGCTGTAAAAATTATGTTAAAATATTTTACGATGTAAATGAATTTAACGGAAAAATGTATTTTACAGATAAGACATCCAAAGTGCCGATATTATACCGTAATTTGATATGGACTTTTTTTACTGTGTGGTAACGCCTGTTAAATTTTTCGTCTTCCCACTCATGTGAGGTCGTTAAGTCATAGTTATTGAATACTTACTTTCATTATAAACATTATCAAAAAAAAACTTTAATTATTCCATGTCATCACTCGAATTTTCTTTGTTCCCGTAGCTTTGCAAAGGTGATTATCAGTTTGTCTTTGCAGTGAAGGTGGCTGACCACATTGTGGCCATTATACCGTTGGTCTCGAAATTGTGGAGTCATAACCTCCATGACCCCTTCGCGAAAAACTGCTTTTACTCTTACTTTTTGAATGCTTAATTTTGTGTGTCTCTTATAGTATTTATATTTCATACAATCTGGTACTTATCGCATAAAATATATGGTATGTTGTCTAACTTGAAACGAAAATATTTTCAAAAAATAAAAAGTAACTCCTCACAAAATGTTTTTTATACAACAGAACGCCTAAAAACTACAGTGTCAGGGATTCGATGCCTACTTAATTGGTTTTATGAACATATATATTAGAAGCTAGTTTAAAGATTTACTTTCTTAGACGTCTTAATTCGAGAGACGAAAGCTCAAGGGCTCAAGAAACGCGTTGCGTGAAACTTAGAAGGAAAAAATTACTTTTCCTTGTTTTTTGTTTCAATCGTGATCAGAATGATAACACAAGGAATCAGTTTCAATTATTTGCATTTTTTTACGAGTCATCTATTTAGCAGTTACAATAGGCATTCATTTAATTCAAATTCTGACGTAAGTATTATAATTATAAAGGCACCGTCGCAGATAATTTTTATTGCATTATTTATTTCTTTGCAAATGTTTGATTTTTTGCATTTTGTCTGGTGCCACATAAATATTTAAGCTATATATAGATAATTAGACTGTTAATAAAATGAGGAAGAACTCTAAAGCCTTTTTTTTTCTTATCAAACATTTTAGTATTAAAAAAATAAGAAAATGTAAAAAATTCCGGATTAAATTACATCCTACCCTGTAAAAAATTCCGGATTAAATTACGGTATAAAATACCGGTACTTTTGGAGCATCATCCGTAAAAATCATTTCACCATAAATCACATTTTAACCGCAAAATATTAAAATGTAATTTATACCTTAATAATTACATAATTACAGTGATTCAGTGATTTTATGGTAAATATTTATT